CAGCGGCCAAAGGAGCAAGGTTTGCAGTGAGAGCTGCGCGTTTCCTACCAAACCCCATGGTCAGTCAGATACTTCAGAGCATGTCCAGACTTTGCTCTTGTAGTCTAATTCACTGGCGTTGTCTGTATTCAGAAGCAGTCCAGGCTATTGCTTAAGACAGTGTGATGCTGAACTATTTTGTACAGCTGGCAAAATTTGTCCTTACTCGAAAGAGTTAAAAGAGCTTTTTCCATTCATGTGAGTGGGCTCTGAATGCTAACTACAGAACTGGGCAGCTTGAGAGAGATACTCCAGTTACACACGCTTACAATACTGATGAAGAGCAGGTAGAAAAGTTGTTCTCATTTCTGAAAGGGTTTTTTGGTGTCATTCATCAAATAAGGATTAGAAGCAAATAATAAAAGAAACAATTGTAACTTAAGAGAAATTGCAGCATCCCATTCAGACCTTTCATCTGGGTGAACTATTCTGTAGGAAGCAGACAACTGTCAAGAGACTAGGGAGAAAAAAAGTCCGTTGTGCTTTCCAGCACTGTGGTAGTTCTTACCGTGTGTTTGGAAGAGCATCCAAGTGATTCTAACCAATCTTAGCTAGTAACAGCCCATCGGGGGCATTTAAACAGCTGAACAGTGTCAAACGATGAGACATTCCAACTTTTGCTTCCTTCTGAGATCCCAGTAGTCCTGGGAGCTACAGCTGTGCTGCGACTGAGGGACTCAGTTCAGTTTTACACTGAATTTTTTAAAAAGGACGGGTTTGTTATTTTAATAATGACGCTCTGCTTGATAATTTCCTTTCCATGACAAATTCCATGTACTGTCACAACACAGAACATTTTTTTCCACAGAATTTTGCAGATTAGCAATAGGATAGAAATTTTGTACTTCCAGTCAGCTTTACTGCCTTCACCAGAAGCAGAGCTCTGTTCCCAAGGAGGAAGGTTCTCTCTGCAGGATCAGGAAGGTTCTTGAATTCTCCTGTGGAGGAAGTGAGAGTGACTGCAAACGATGGCATCCCTTGCCTGCCAAAATGCAGTTCCTTCAACTCTACCTTTCCCAAGGGCAGTTTGTAGCTTAGGAGTAATAATTAATAAGATGGGACCAACACACCTAAAACCATGTACAAAACCATTGGAGACTTAGGAGGAGAGATTTCTTCGTAAACTAGGAAGCAGTGTGATGCCTGACTGACGAGTCTTGAAATATGAGAAAATGTGAAATAGAATAAAAGTTTATGACTGAGGGTGTAGGAAATCTAGTTTTAGTTTCAGCTTTTTCTTAGATTTCATGTTACATAATTTCCCATCTTCCATTTGTAAACTGGGTATAATTGTTCCATTTTTGGGATGGGGAAGACGACATTTCTTATCGCCACCAAGAGGAGAAAAGAGTTAATAAGCTGTGTTTGACCTGGTATTCTGGCCAGTTTTCAGGGATTGCAGGAAACTCCTGCGGCTTCTTTTCCTCACAGGGGATCTCTGATGACAAATCCATTTAGCCAGATTATTTTAATGGGAAATGCTGAGCACTAAATGCTTTTGTGCACTAAATGCTCTCATGTGCAAGAGATCCTCATGTACTGTAAAGTTAGCAAAGAAAAACTTCTTTCTGGAAAAAAGTAAACTGATTAAGACACATATTAAAAATTAATTTGTCATTACTGGCGATTGATTTCATCCTTTAATTCAGGACACGCAGTCCCTCTGGAGTTCCCAAATCCTCTTTATTATCTAATTGCAAACATTTGCACAGGCTGCTTCCAGATTGATCACTGTACATGTGTTCCGCATTAGGTGGAAGAAGCACGACCGGCTGTGTAATGGAATTGTATATTAAGAAATGCTTTAGGGGATATCTTACTAACAGAGAGACTTCTCTTAAGCCAGAAGGGGATTGCACAGTGGGTGATAGTTCAGAATCACGAATTGCTGAAATGGAAAGCAAAGTTAAACATGTTTCATGCATTGACAAGGATGGAGATCTGATGAAAGAGACAAACACACTTCATTCATTGAGATACTTCTATCGTGGGATCAGTGTTATAACTTAAGCCTTGGAAGTAAAGTCTTTGAAGCTCCTGCAGATCCAGAACTGCATCGCATAGAGAACACTTGTTCTAGTTACACTTTCTCTAGGAGCAATATTTGAAAAGAGAGAAAATGCTCCGTTTTCCTAAGAAATAGCACTAGCTGAGCATCATGTTTCTTTTTATTTGTCCATGTTTCCTTAAATACTTCAGTTGGTTGTTTCCCCCAGTGTTCACTAGATTTGTAGGACTTCCCTAGAGGATATAGGTATAGATAGGATATAGATAAAGCAAGCTTAAGAAGCAAATCTGAATTTATAACTAGACATTTCACTTTAGAAACGCTAATGGCTGTTAGATAAGTTATGAAGAACTATTAACGGAGGGTTAATTGGAATGTTTTACTTTTGTCTCCAATGTAATTTCTTGTGAAAACCATAACTGATCCATTTTCTTTCAGGTTTTTTATAGTTCTCTACATTTGTTTTTGTGTTTGTGCAGTTGCAATATGATTCAATTGCTAAATTGTGTATCAGCATTACACTGTGTCTTGTGCTCCAAACTAAGGCTGTTTAGTTTTTATGTCAAAATAACTGTATATTATGGAACTTAATTCCCTAAAACTGTAGGTTATGCAATTAAATAGTCCTTACCAATTCCCAGAGATTGTAAAAGATTCATGCAAAGTCTATGAAACATAAGCTAGAATTGAATGGATTCTGGGGAAGACTGTGAATGCCCTTAAGTCAAATCCAGCCCTGCTTGGAAGCCAATCTTCAATGATTTCAGCTCAAAGTTACTTACAGTTTATGGGGTAATAGATAATCTGAAGCAGATTCAGAAATCCCTGGGCAAAATGTTTACACTGATTAGTTCCACAGTAGTCTGGGGCTCACAAGGTACAGTTGCTGGCTATTGCTACTAGTGGTGGAAGCCTCTATTCATGCAAAAGTATTGAGCTGTTATCTGATTTTTTTTTTTTTTTTGGTGTATGTTGCAATTGTGGATAGATGCTTTTAAGAAATTCTGTATGTTTAAAGTGAAGTTAAAAAAAAGCCATGGCTGCCTAGAAGTGTTTTTTGAGTAAATGAGGTATGTCCTTGCTCCTGTGTGGGGGTTTGATTATATTTGGATACGGAGGCATTCGTATCTCAGAAGCCTGACAGGTGGTATATGACTGAACACCTTTACCTAGCAAAGTAGGGGCAGTCGAAAGTTTTCTATCAGTTTCTGTGACTCATAACAAGTCCAGATGATGGAGATCAAGCATTTGGACAAGTTGGAGGTAGTCACCAGTCCAATCCAGAACCCCTGCCATCTGTTTAGAGCGCAGAGCTGCTGTCTTGATAAGAGCAATAAATTTATTCACTCTTCTGACTGATAAAGGTGCGATGCTTTTATTTTGTGTTGTGACCAGCTGTTCTGCCCCACCAAACAGAGTGCAGCATGACAGCAATTTCACTGCTGTTTGTAACTGCCTGCGTTCCCCTTCTGTACTCGCACGGTACTTCAAAGTAAGGATGTCAAGCCTGTCAGCTTTACGCTTCTCTCCAGTCCCTGAGAGGTGATCAAGAAGCTTGCAACAATCTCCCCATTGTATCTGGAGATTATTTCAGGGGCTTGTCTGCTTGGAAAGCCAACTTCCTTACCATTTGCCTTCTTTCCCAGTGCTAATAGGGGGGCCGTTACCCCGAGGACATGAGTTTGAACTACACGATGTTCGTTTTCACTGGGGGAGAGAAAACCAGCGTGGGTCTGAGCACACCGTCAATTTTAAGGCCTTTCCCATGGAGGTAAGAACGACACTGCATTGTGTACCACTCACTGAGTGCAAAAGTTTTTATTTCACAGCCTGAATTCCTAGTAGGTAAAAAGAGAGTTTCTTTTAGCTCAGCATTTTGTTGCTTTATATATCAACCAGAAAGCTATCTCGCTCAGGTGCGCTTTACTGCAGGTAGATTCGAATATGCATGTGGAATAGAATGCCTCCAGCACTCATCACGTTGTATGATTAATTAGCCATAAAGTTAGCTTGCAGAATTATTAACTTCTGTCTTAATAATATTAGTGTTCTAACAAGATCTGCCATTTCAACACTTCCTATGTCACCTTGAGTCATAGCTATAGATGGGGAGAACTAGCCCCTGGAAATATTTCCATGGTGAATAATAACAAGTTAGGTAAATCTGGAGTAAGTGCAGAGCAATTAGTTCATGAAATAGCTTTACATACTTGAAAATTTAAAATTATGTGATATTCTTGGATATGTTCTGTAATATCTCAAAAAATTACAAAATTTTGAAACTCCAGCAAAGTGATAATGCAGTCTGAAAAAATTCAGCTGTTCATGGGGTGTCAGTTTGGGCTCCTAGGCCACCCAGAATGCTAGGACCTATTTCCCCTGCCCTCCAGCAGCTGTTCATCACGTTACTTCTCTTCCCTCTGTCCCATCGCTTGCACTTGTGAAGAAGTGGCTTGGAGTGACCCTGAGACCCTGGGCTGCCAGGCTGGTTTTAGCAAGTGCCACCCCTGGTGGCAGGTGACTTCAGCTTTGCATCTTTGATTTGATTTGTTATGTGCTATCAGTTTTAAAGAAACTCAAGATTTTTTCAGAGTTATTTTTGCCTTATTTATCTATTATAATCCCTCATGAGCCTGAAACTCTGTTTTCTTTTTCTCGGTGTTGTTCAGTGCTAGGAAGTTTGTTATTGTAGTGTACATTAACGAGTGTGAGAATACTGGAATAGAACCAACCGCTGTATGGAAGAGGATATAAAATGTATTACAGCAACTACTGCAGAGCTAAGCGTAAAAAGCTTGTGGACTTACACCATCGGTCTCATTCTTAGCATTGTTCAGGTACTTTCAAGAGTTGTAGGTCAGATCTTGGTCTCTGCTCTTTGCCATTTTGCACTGGTCCATTAGAGAACCCCATGTATAAAGTGACTCCCAGGGGCTTTGCAGATTGATTTGGGGCAGATCCTCCTTGCAGGTTGATTTCAGGCTGATCCTCACAACTCAGGAGAATTGTTTGAATAGGGAAGAGTCATCAACCGAAGGGAAAACAGAGGAATCACCTCTGCATCCTGGTTACCTGGCATAATATATACAATATGATTTATATGGGCAGTAAGACCTTCAAGATACTCCGGTGTTCTTCAGAGGCAGGAGGCTTCTTTACCGTGAAACAGCTCTGCTTAGTGCTTTTCCTCAAGGCTGATCCAGCATGTGGTGATCAAGAAGTACTGACATGAACTATGTCAAGAACTGTATTTGGGAGTCTATCAGGATCTCCTGTCTCCTTGTTCTTTAAGGATCACTTTGCAGTATGTGCAAATAGTCTCTTGATAATCTGTAGAAACCCCAGAATTCTCTACCACAAATCAGTCCAGAGGAAAATGTACTGGACACAGAGATGCAAAACAACTTAATCAGTCATGACAAGATTTCATTCTTCGCCTACTTTAAAAGCAGCACAGCAGCTGCACAAACAGAATTCTGGCACAGTTGAAGAACATCACCTGGAGGTGAGCAAGATGGTCTTATCCTGTCTCTTGCATCTGAGCAGCTTTCAGCTAGACTTTGATACCCAAGAAATAATTACTGATGCAAAAATACTGTAGCAGAAAAAAATTGACTCAAAATATACTTTAAATACAGTGAGAATGTTTAATTTTGCAAACAGATCTGTATGCAGATTAGTTCTTCTGGCAGAAAATGAAAGCACAGGTTGTTGTATCCAAGGCCAGTTGCATCCAGGTGTATTGGCTGAGCCAGTTCATCATCTTCAGCCCCATGGTGCAAGGAAGTGCAGTGCAGTGCAATTTGACGGGTGAGCTGCAATTCCTTCTGCTGTATGCACAAAGAGCTGCTATAGTAAATCCATCACAAATTGTCCAAATCAAATATTACACCAGAGCAACAATGAAACAAGTGCTGGTGACCACTGTAAGTGTTTATGAAGTAGTACACCTGAGGATCCAGAGTGGAAGATTTGATGTTTCCATTTATGTTTCAATTCCAGGGATTGCTCCACCTAATTATTTTATTTATTTATTTATTTATTTGTGGAGAACAATCATTTTCATCAAGGGACTAGGAAGTCTATTTTCTTGACTTTTAACATTAGCATTGGTTTATACAGTTGCTGGAAATCACCACATTCTGAATGCATACTGGGCTTGATTTTCACCGGCTTTATTAGCTACCGAGCACAAACAGTGATGGGTGCCTGTTTTGGCTGTATACAAACAGTCTGTTGTAGTTTATGCTTTTGTCCTGTACTAAATGCAAAATAAGCTGGCAGTTATTTGTGCACAAATGCATGCCTAGAAATATGTTGAGCACCAAGTGCATAGGTTGGGGTCTTCTGCTGGTGCAACAAATCTAGTAGGACATTTTCCTAGGAAACCAGAAAAGATTTACAAAGCAAATGGTAAGGATTTTAAATTCTCCTCTCTTTGTGGGAGGAAGACAAGTCAAGAGGATAAGCAGTAGTATGAAAACATAAGTGCTTGGTTTAAGTGGGTTCATTAACAACACAACAGACTAGACCCAGATTATATCCTCCACTACACTATTATACAGCCCAAGAAGAGATCAACTCTGACTTTGAAGAGATCTATCTGAGGTGACTATCTAAGATGATTTATTGGCTGGAGCAGCAGGACTGAAGACAGTAAAGGCTTTATTTTATTACATTGGACCAAATAGTTGTGGAACAGCTTCAGATTATCAGTGTAATGATCTTTGTAAAGAATGACTTTAGAAAAGAGTGTTACTTTCCAAAGCTTGGAAGAGCACTCTTCAGTTACTTCCTTAGTCTCTTCACCTTTGATACCATAACTGCTTTTATAGAAATTAGGCAATTTCCTGTTGGGTAATATCCTGTGTCTCAGTGCAGAAAACTGTGATTTCTTACTAGACAGCTGGTGCCTTCGCACATGGTTGGGATATCTAGGTTCGTGGTAAAAGAGGTTAGACTGCTGAGCTTACGTAACCTTTGGAACAGCTTATTGAAATAATTCACACTGTTCAGAAAACATTTTTCATGTGGCTTGGTGGCTGAATTTATTGTTATTTTTATTATTATGTGAAGTTCAGCAAAGATGTGCTTTCCGCCTTCCTTGAGTGGAAAAACCAGCCTGTTGACAGAAATACACCTGTGTTCCCATTTTCACTGAAACGTCTGTGTTTGCAACCAGCCTGGAAAGCAGGACAAAGCAACCCGTAGCTGTCAAAGGTAAATCCTGCAGCACATCTTTTCAAAGGAAGGAAAAACAGAGAGCTGTATGTGTCAATACAACACTCCTCTCTCCGGTCCATGGAAACAGGAGCATGAAAGCCATTCTTGACTTTTGGCCAGGAATTGGAAGGAGACGTTTGTGGAACCTTCTCCAGAAATCTTTCTCACCAAGTATTTCTGCTGCATGTAAAGAGTGTTACTTTGCCTTTTGGCCACCACTTGTGCTCAAAATTTAGTAATGGTCTTAACACCGAGAGGCTCACTCGTGCCAGCAAGTGGGACAAGGTCCCAAAGATCAGATGGTGCTTTACATTTTCACATCCACACTTCCACCCACATGGGAGTTACCTGAGCCTGATTTAGGTGTAAGAAAGAGAGGAACTATTTGACATCATTATGCCTCTCCTTTGTACCCAGAATATGGATTGGAGAAGGAAGAACAAAGGAAGAACTAATGAAGCTCTGCCTCTCTCCCTTACCTTTGATGTATGAAAGGGAGATAGAGGGGGGCAGGGTTAGCAGATTACTGCTATTTATTTTTGTTATTAACAAGGTTAAAATAAGCACAGCTAAAAATGGAGGCCCATTGTACCTGAGCTCTGTATAAACACAGCATACTGTAGTGCCAGGCTGAATCAACTGACAGCCAAAGAAGACAGGAAAGACAGCAGGAGAGAATGACCCATATGATGGAATCAGTGCTGTTTCATGGAGAAAAAAAAAGAAGTTTTCACTGCTTCTGAAGTGAAGTCAAATAAGGAAAGTTATGACTTAAAGGTGTTTCTTCCTCTTAGTTACTCAAGTGGTGGTGTGACCAAAGACACAGTCTGACCATAAAGGGACATTTTTTTCCAGGCCGCTGCTCTAAAATAAAACTGTATCTGAGGAAATAAAAAGGTTCCTTTCACCCCTTGTAATATGACCTGGAGGATAATTCTCTGTAATCCATCCACTTTAAGATGTTGGATTATATTAGCTGTGAACCATGTGAAAGCTCTCAGTAGAAGAGGATTGTCAGAAAATAATTTAAAAAAAGTTCCAAGGTGTGCAGGAAGATTAAAAGCTGTATTATTTTCTGTCCCAAAGTTTTTGAGTAGAAGAGAAGAAAATCCAGTTGCCTGAAGGACCAGAATCAGTTCTGTTCAGGAAAAAAGACATTTCCTTCTGTAGTGTAATGAAGAGCAGACTAATTCATTTGGAATACTCTTTCAGAGTTAGTGAAATACCTGCTGCAATGAAGCTAAATATAATGCAAAAACATATCCTACCCGTGATCTGATTTAAACCATTACGTTTTCCTTTGTTCACGTGAAGTGGTGCCTGCCCAAGGATCTCGTCAGAATGCCAGCTTTAGGGCTTCAGGTTAGGCTGTTAACATTATCTGCTCAAGCCTTCACAGCCTTCAGTGTGGGGATTGCTCTGTGCCCAGCTCTGAAGTCAGGTACTGGCATGCTGTACGTCCCCTTTCTGTCATTCCTCGAGGGGAGGTATCATGCTCTCTCTGCCAACTTTGAATATTCTTTGCCAATGTTATTTAATCTTGATTTA